TCTTATGCTTCTGTTAGTTAATAGTCAATAATAGAATTTTCGCCTATATTATTGCCATCTAACCACACACATATAATACATAATGCCATTATAATCTAATAGAAATGGCGCTTTCCTATAAACAAAGCGAGGAGAGAGAGACAATTTGGAGAGAGTTGTCTCGGAGAGAGAACAGACGTACCCATTTACAATGTCAGTGTCAATAAAACTTGAGCTTTGGCAATTGGCAAGAGATAAGAGAAATGTTTACACAAAAGTATAGAGGCGTAATTATCAAAATCCCTATCATCGCCCGATCAGGCGCTCGATCAGCGCTTATCGCTCGATCGGGCGCTGAGATTGGGAAAATGACAAATACCGCCCAAATCTAGATCACAATCCACTAGCTGTCCGGAGGCACTGGTGTTAACTCTTCACGTAATCGCTCATAGACGTAGCCGTCCACTTCGCTATCCTGCTTCGTAAGCCGTTCTTCCTCGTCATCATCAACATCCGATTCGCTTTCCTCTGACCGCAGATTGTTCTCTGGCACGGCGTTCGATTTTATTCTTGACCAGTCGTCACCTCGGATGGTGTCCTCGTCGTCGCTGAGTTTATAGTAGACGTCCACTTCGCCTTCGCTGCTGGACCATCGCTTCAGTTCGGGGTCCTGCCGTTCTTTCGCGACGTCCACTACGATGACTTCATGTGGGTGACCAAAACCGTTATTCTCATTGACTGGGGATGCTCCAACCTCGCGCAGGTCAAGCACTTCGTCTCCTACTCGGCTACCTCGCCGTGATTTCGGCCTGTCCTCGGGGCTATCTGGTTCGTCAAGGAAAGCCGTAGTTGGTTGGGCAGCCATGGGCGATTCTTCGGAGGTCATGGGAGAATCTAGTGAGAATGAGGGAACCAGCACGAGAGCGGGGACTGGGACTTCTGGCTCGGTAGCCTCTGGAGTCGGTTCTACCTCCTTCTCAGGAGGCTCTTCCACAGGCGGATTCTTCGTTTGCTCATGTCTCTCTTCGACAATTCTCTCCTCTCGATGGAAATTCGACCTTGGATTGGGCTCACTTTCAAGCGCCGTTTCCGAATCGAATGTTGGCTCTCTGGGCAGCTGTGATGGGTCACACATGAACATGAAACGAGCTTGGCGTTCAGTAAGTACATGTGGCTCGTTTCTATCGTAATTCTCTACGGGTTCGTTGATCTCACGATAAGTTGTGGGAGCATTCTGTTCGGTTTTTTGCTTCACCGCTCCGTTTTTAGATGGTTTTCGTTGACAAGCGCCATAGTTAGGAATGGCATTGACAGTGGCGAGACCGTTGGCTGCATCTTCAGCAGCTTTTCGCTCTCGTTTTCGTCTTCGGGCATCTCTGAAAGAATTCTTT